GTGAAACCTCATAAGGAGGAGTTTCTTTACCGTATTTACCAGGGATGTGAAAGGTGGGTTTTGGATAAAGCATACTTTCTCGTCCCTTTGTATTGGATTTACGTTATGATAAAGTCAAGGTACGTATAATCGCGACTTTTCATTGTATTTGGGAAATTTATGAGTGGCTCCGAGAAAAGTGTCAGCACAAGCGATAAGCAGAAAGTTAGATGATGTTCTGAACAACATCAAAAAGTCTATTTCCAGCCGTATGTTAAGAATGGCCAAATAACAGTCAAATCCGAGGTTAGAAATACCTTAGTAAGAATTAGTTTAAAGCCATTTTATGTCTGCCATCTGTACAATGTTAAAAACAGGGAGAAAAGCCAAATTTACCTCCACAGAATCATCATAGGTACGTTTATAAACTCATTCAAATGTATTTCTTCCCGGGCGAACTCTCATATGAAAGGGACGGAGACGCTCTTCGAAAAAAACTGAATAAAACCTCTCGAGGCGATCAGTTTGGGCGTGGCCTAAGCGTTGTTTGAACCTTAAAAGATGCCATTCCAAAATCAAGACGCAAATAAGTACTCATAGTGACCCTTACGATGATAAAGACATTGTCATTGAATGCTCTCATCTTAAAAGAAGTGATGGAAATTCCGTGCAGATCTATAGAAACCATCATCCAAGTACTGAAGACGGGCGCTTTTACGCAGGTTTTGAATGCAAGCCTAACAGATAGCGTGATTGGTGGAGACACTGCATCCTATCCTGAATAACATGATGACTGATAGCAAAATTAGCAATTACACCTCCACCTTTTCACAAGAGATGTCCCCCGCGGAATGTTTCATTGACAATTTTGTGTTTCGAGAAATAAACTTCCTTTCCGCGCAAACCATTTTACCAAAATTAAAATAGTTGATTTAAGTATATAATAAGTTTACTTTTCCTATAACAAATATAAGAAATTTTTTTGGCTTAATATCTTCAGCTTAATATATATATATATTAACTATCAAGCTTGTATTGTTCATTACACTTTGGCCGGAGAATACTGTTTATACTTTTAGCCTGAGAACGTTTTTAGATTTTATCATGATATATCCTGGCTGCAGCCATTCTATATTGTAATTCTCTCATATTGTTATACACCAGCCTATACTCATAATTTAATTGGTGTTTCAGAGAATTTACCATTTGCTCTAGTTTGGCTATTTTCATTAGTTGTTCTAGTTTGGCTATAACAGAGACAAATATATGTAATGTTGGTAATGATACCTAATGGTGCAATAAAATATGAAAAGACGGATTTGCGGTTTGTGATGTTATATCCAATCTCATGTCGGGTTTCAGTCTGGAGGACGCAAGTTTGTCACGGTTATGAGAGTTCGAGATTGGACCACATCGTAACCTAGCAATGCTTCCATTGAGGAAACCCCTTACCGTGGCCTTAATGCCGAGAGTTCCTCCACTGGGAAAGAAAAGCAGGGAAGAGCTGATTGAAATTCATGGAAAAGTGATCGCAGATAAGTCCATTTCAGCCCAACTGACCTCACCCACGTCAGTGTAATGTGTTTCGCTTCCCATCGCCCCATAGGGCACGTCTCCCTGATCGCCTACTCTTTTATCCCTCGCTTATTTCTTGTGTGTTAAGTGTTTCACCACGCATGAACCTCTTCAAACTCCCAGTTCCCAGTTCTGCTAATATTTGACAAGGTCTCCTATAAAAGTTATGACTGGAAAAGTTTTATTTTGACTCCCAAACTCCAAATTAAATATTTTTTATTGCATTTGTTAGCTTGTTTGCTTGTTTCCATGTTTGCTTCTTTTTATGTTTGTTTCACTGTTTGAGTCCTTCTTTTCTTCTTTGCCTCTTTGCTTGTTGCACCTCTGTTTGTTTGTTCGTTTGTTTGCTTAGTAATAGAGGGGAATGGAAAAAAGACTACTAGCGTCGGTTTTTGTTTCTGAAGTTCTCCATGGGAAAATTAAAATTTGTGCAACGTACACTCGGCCCAGGCTGAATATTCGTATTTTTTTCACGATTTTAGGCTATTACTGTTTATTCCAACAGCGAGTCAAAAAAGAAAAAAGAAACATCACCATTTGGGCTGTGTCTACACAACGTCACATTGTCTGTCCGGTCCTATCATGACTTTGATGGCGTGCAATAAAGCGTGGTATGGCACACATGACTTAGAAATGTTATTAGCATCGAACAAACGTGCAAAATGATATTCTTTTCAAAATCTCAGCCTCGGGTTTATTCGGAAAAAATTCTTAAAATTTTGCAAGTTTCAGCATCGATATTGTTATAAAATGTATTCTTATTTAAAAAAAAAAGTGTGTGTGGACAATTCGCGCCGCAAGCTAGGGGAAAAAGAAAATAGGAAAATAAACTTCTCATTGTGATCACGGTACTCTCTTATCGGTACCGCCGGGGATCTGGGTCGGGATAGTGTTTCACGCAACAAGTGTGTTGCGTGACAGTTTTTCGTTACTAAGAAATTGAATTCTGAGAAGTTTGCTGTTCGACGTGTCCTTCGGGCTGCAGCTGAGCTTTGCGTCAAGGAAGTAACTTCTTACGTTTTATCTGTAAAATCCTTGGAAGTAAAAGCTGGATAAAGATGGAAAGGAAATTAACGAGGTTTCATCTTTTTAACTGTGATAATACGTACAACTTGAATTCAGTTGAAGCTTTACTGCTCGAAATGGAGGATAAACTCAAGTTAAAGATTGCAGTTGAAAAGCATTATTTTCGCCTGCATCAGATGACGGAGATGTGTGAAACTGCCATTCCTAAACTGCAGATGGATGTTGCCATTTTTGCCGTTCATGCTCACGAATCTCGTCTCTCTATCAACGAAGAAAACGCTGGAATTGGTTACGGGAGGCTCTACAGAGTATTACTCCAAGCGGCGGGTAAGTTCATCAGGATTAATAAAATAGCGCCAATAAATTTTGAATTTCATTTCTGAGGTCATTGATTCAGAAGACGCTGAACTGAAATACTTAAATTTTAAGTTTAAGTAGGGTGTTTTGCGATGGACTGGTCGACTAATTGTAAAGAGTAAACACAGCTTTCGCTTTCGATTGCAACACGTGTCAGAAAGGGACTGAGGAAAAGCGGAAGTTACTTCCGCTTTCGTTTCATCACGATATAAAGCCACTTACTAGTAATCAATTTCGTGACCCAAATCTTCCCTTAATCTCATTTGTAACACTTGTTTTCTCTTGAGTAAGGAACTTACCTTTTCTGGCTTGCAATTAAAAACGGTATTTTCTTCTGGTAAACGAGATCTGTTAAACAGCCATGACCTATCACGTTCTGCCACTATAAACTCTTCCTCGGTTTCTCACGTTTGTTACTTATATAACCTATTATGAAGCAAAATTAATAAATAAACGAACACAGAGAAAGATTCGGGAATTTTTCCTGTTGCTGACATTTCTCGATTAATTTTATTCTTGTTGTTCCAGAGGGTAAAGTGTTACTAGTTATTGGTGGAGACGATCAATACAAAGATGAAGACGAAGAAGAACGTACTGTGATCTCGCGTTGGGCTCGAAGGAAAGTGGCTTCACAGTTCAATGAGGAGTGCCTCGATGGAAGTGAAAGTTTCATCTTTTCTTGGAACAAGCAACACCGAGAGATCCACCAAGAAGCGCTGCTGCATTACTTTGATCCAAGCAAGAAAGGACAGAAGTTTCAATATCAGCCAAAACCAAAACCAGTACCCTTGCCAAAACCTGAAGAACCTAAAAACACTCCAAAAGAGGTATTAGTATGTTGTTATTTGTTTGTAATTTTGTTAGAAAAGTATGGTTCTTAGAACCTTAGACATACCCTCACCCCTTCCCCCCAGAAAACAAACTACTCAAACGTCAGCATTAAAATTATAATTTTAACACCTGAATTGCTCTTTCTGGTCATTAAAAATATATTACGTGGATGACTTTAATCAAATTTTTGGCTTTGAATTACTTTTGATTTATGCAATTCGTTCGTTCCTTCCTTCCTTCCTTCCTTCTTTCTCCCTTCCTTCCATCCTTTTTTTAATTTCCTTCCCTCGTTCCGTCCTTCATTAATTCGTGCATTCATACGTACTTATACAGTTGTTCGTTTCTTTTATCGTTTTTTTTTTTTTTTTCGTTCGCCAGTTTGTTACGTTACAGATTCACTCATTCTCTCATATTTTTATTCGTTTATTTATTCATTACATAGCCAACGGGTTTGATGGATGAAAACGGAACCCGTCAGCGAAGACTAAACGACCTGGATGGGCAGACAACGATTGATGTGGAACCCCCCAGTTTTGAAGGTAAGATACTAACAGAAAACGACAATAAGTTACATTCAGCTGTGATGTTGCGTCACAATTGTCACCATCAGTAATATTATTAAATCTTGAATGAGAGAATGCAGAATAGGAAAAAAACAAGAAGCCTGATAAAAAGTTGGAAAGATGAACCTAGCCAGTGTAAGTGAAAAGGGGGCAACTTGAGAAAGGAGGGAAGGCAACCGTGTTCTGGCGGTATATCGCCATTGTTCTGTGCTCCAACGTCCCCCTTACCACATCACACATTCCACGTTCCTCTTCTTTCGCCACACATTTCGTCTCATGATCGTTTCGATACTGCAGTCGAACTAGTTCTCCGTTCTAAAGTAATCATCTGGTTATTCAAAGTCAAGAGATTAATTTAGACGCTGATTGTACAGCAGATGCTATATATAGTAGAACGCCCCCGCCCCCTCCCAACCTCGTACTGTTTCCATATCACTTGGAACCTGTAAGCTCATACTTTTAGAGTGACATTTTATATTTAAACCCTAGCCTCTGGATATTTACCCTCAGACTACCCAGATGGCACTGTGCTCTTAGACACGCGCGTCCTTTATGGAAAAATATCCTACAAAGTAGAGGACGTGAAGATCTGGGAGCGAGGATGGAAGCCATCTGAAAGAGCCGTGCTGGATCTGGAACGAAAGTGGCAATCAGTCCCTGTTGCTAATGTACAGTTTATGGCCAATGCTGTTGGTGGAGTTTACTGTAAAGTGTTTGAGGTGCAATCTCCTGATACGGGGATTTTCTCGTGGGTGAAGAGTATGATAGTCAATTGTAAACGCACAACTATCTGCACTACGGCTTGTATACTGGGGATGATAATTTTTGGTATCTGGCGGATGTCGACCTGGGAGCAGCCTGGGGGCGCACCAGATGTCAAGTTGCCAGGTCCGAGTAGAGTTTAAGACTGGATTTAAAACAGGGGCAAAGCGTTAAGAAAGAGGAATTTTAACGATGTCTTCACCAGCAACGACACGCCCCAGGGACAGTAGAAACAATATTTAGAAATTGCAAATAGTCAAATCAACCTTAAAGTAGATAAATAACGTAAATGACGAAGCGAGCGAAGCTTTAGTACTACTCTATGTGAAGAGAGACAGGGCAAGTAATTCCCCCAAGCTAAACTAGAATCCAGGTCATCCCCGAGATTAGCTTGGGGAAATTATATTACTTTCGACCCTTTCGGTCAAGTGTCTTCTCAGTTTTGTTTTCGATAACTATTTATGGCTATGCGAAGTGTAAGTTCCAGCTACGTTTATGATTTAGCTCAAAGCTGCCAGTAGGGTGGTTAAAATGTCATGTAAAGCTGACAGTTATAAATTAAAAGTATTACTGTTTTCATGTTCACTGCTCACCATTTTGATAGACTTTTATGTATATCGTAGGCTCATAAGTGAAGACTGGGTATCCAACATTCTCATATTTATGGTATGTATCGGTCTATCAGACTGATGCAGTTCTAAATTACAAGCTGTGGCTCTGTTAGTTTCTGGTGTGGGGTGCAGGATTTATGCAGCAACTGCTAGTAATATTTTTGAGCACGATTTTGTTGCAGCAACTTCGTGACACTTACAGCATCACTACTCCATATGGCCAGTACTATTACTTGGGTAATTTAACGATGGCAATTGTTGTATTCTACTACTTACAAAGCTAGACAACACTAAACACTTCTCAAGCTCAAACAACATTAGCATATAGCATACATATATTGATAGATATCGAGTTTAAACCTTCTACAGTCGGCTTGTATTGGAAATCATCAATAGCCTCCCAGTCGTGTTCAAAGACCTATAATAACGACTACATCATTAGGCCAACCTATTTATAGACCCCTACCCCATTCCTTTTTGGTTCTCAGTTGAATGACGTTGCTCTCCCTGAATTCTCGTGGCTCAGTGGATAGAGCACGCGTTCGGTGTCCGGGAGGTCATGGGTTGGATTCTTGTCGGGGAGTCAGAGTCTTTTCTTTGTTCCACGCTCGTGCCATGTTGATCAATTCACCTTTCACATTTCATTACCGACGGAGCTTACAATTTACCATCTTTGTTTACTTATCGCAAAATTACATTCTTTTCAAAATCTCAGCCTCGGGTTTATTCTTAAAATATTCTTAAAATTTCGTAAAAAATTTCAGCCTCGATATTCTAAAAAATATATTCTGATAGAAAAAAAAAAGAGTGTAGAAGACATCACACCGTTCTTTCTTGGGAAAAAAGGCCTTGGAAAGCTTTGCATTGATTTGTCTAACGCAATTCCTTTGTCCAGCACCGTAACTTGGCTATTCATAAATTATTCAGAATTTAATTGTTAAGAAACTTACTTACCATTGGACTCCCATACACTGAAACAGTTTAGCTTCTGACACTGTTGTCTTCCCATCAAGATGGCTAATCTTGATACAGGATTTTATCACCGTTCAAAGGTCTATTGTGTCGTACTTGGTATATGGGTACGTTGCGTGACTAACCTCGCTGTAAACAACGTCACATGATCGAGGTTTCTCGGAAAGCGCGTCGAAACATAAGCGCATTTTCGAGCGGTTTATAAGAAAAAGAAGAATAGAGGATTTGGTTAAGAAAATTTCACGGCATTCGCATAATATGGCGAATCAGTTGACTCAGAGAGTTGGTCTTTTTAATTGTGATGGCACTTATAAGCTGGATGCGGTAGAGAGCCTTTTATTAGGAGTGCAGAAGAAACATGGCTTCAAGTTCTCAACTGACAAACGCTATTTTAATGTGAATGAAATGCCAAAGTTTTGCGAAACCACTCTTCCTCAACTGGAGATGGATTTTGCCATTTTTGTCGTCCATGCAGAGGAATCCCGTCTCTCAATCAACGAAGACAACGCTGGTATTGGTTACACAAAGATCTATAGAGCATTGCTGCAGGCCACAGGTGAGTGGAGCGGAAGTTTGGGCAGTGTAAGAAGTCGAAATCTTCCCCGGACGAGAACAACACAGCACTCGAGAATTGACAAAATGTGGCAAAACGTTCCAAGTATAGAAATATTATTTGGTATTCCTTGGCGAAAAGACTGAAAGTGACGAATTAAAACGGAACTTGAAGACCGAGTCGAAGACTTTCGCTTTCGAAATTTACTGATTACAATGCGGATCGATTGTTGTTCGACCGAAGCGGAAGCTGTTTCGGGGGTAATGTTTGAGTTATTGTCGTGTGTTTTGGTAAGGATCTGTGTGCTGGTTCTTTCTCTATCATGAAATGCAGAACGTGGTGAGACTATTTCTCGTTGTTGTTTTCATTGCAAAGTGATGTACAGGAAAGGGCGCTGACATGGAGCATGTAACTTACATAAATCGTTATTCGACACGAACTCCTTTGCTTGAAAAGCAGTCCTTCCCTTCTGCTTGAAAGAATAGTTATGAGATCAAAGAGAAGGGGTTTTATTCTTTAAATAACAGTTGACAAACGATTTCAGTACCTTAGCTATATCTTGGCTACGACGATCAAGGAGTTATCGAGAATTAAGAACTGACAACAACGTAAAGGATACATCATATCGAGGTCGAGGGATTGATGAATATTTACTTTTCTGAGAAATAATATCGCTTTTTTGTGGCAATATATACAGCATTTTTTTCCCCTCTGTCGCCGTGCGAAGTTTTTCTTTGAATGTTTAAAAGCCATTTTTAGACCGTCATTTGTAATGAATTACTAAATTTACATCTTATTCTTCTTACCCAGATGGCAGGGTGTTAATAGTGATTGGTGGAGACGAGCACTACACAGATGAAGACGAAAGAGATCGTACTGTGATCTCACGTTGGGCTCGAAGGAAAGTGGCTTCACAGTTCGATGAGGAATACCTTGATGGAAGAAAAAGTTTCATTTTTTCCTGGAACAAACAACACCGAGAGATCCACGAAGAAGCGCTGCTGCATTACTTTGATCCAAGAAAAAAAGGGCAGAAGTTCGAATATCAGCCAAAGCCAAAACTAGTACCCATGCCAAAACCTGAAGAACCTAAAATTACTTCGCCAGCAGTCAAAGACATCCAGCGAGAGGTAGAACTATATACAACTATTTTTCTACTAGTTAACTCACTTAAATTCCAGCCTTTTGAGTGTCTGTTTTTATGTCAATTTCTTATATTTTTTTTTTGCCTAATGCCACCTACAGATCATGTTTGATTACAGTAGACACCCACCTACAAATAAGAACCTAAATTTTTCCAAGTAAGCCTAAAAAGTCTCCTTTAATGTATCTACTGAGAAATTAGGCTTTTTATGGTCTTGAATTGGTATTTCATATGCAAATGGTTTGGTCCCGTCCTTATTGATAGGAAACTTATAGTTACACCGAGAATATGAGACTACCTGTATGTACATTTTAAGGAAATACTGTATACATTATGCTCTAGATCGTCTGATTTAATTCAGGTTCTTTATCATCAATAGACCTCAACATATTTCCTAAATAACAACCTACTTCAATTTTTAGGCTCAACGGGTTCTGGTTTAAATGCGAGTTTAAATGTCAAAAATGTTAGCCTACAGTCTCTTAATTACTAGGTTCTTAAAGGTGGGTGCTAACTTTACTACTCTTTTGCAAAAGAAAAACACAGGCGCTGGAAAAGAGAACAAAAGCTACAGCTTTTTGCCTATTGCCATGTTAGAATTGCATTCATTAGAGCAAAAAAAAAAATCATCAGTGATCGAGCTTACATTATTTACAGAGAAGGGAAGAGAGGGAGAAGTGAGTTGGTCGGAAGGAATTAGAGGTATCGTAACAAAGGTTAATCCACTTTGTAGACAGTGAAGAACGTCGATGCCACGGGGAAGTTACTGCCGAAAGTTGACAATGACCCTCGGCCAAGATTCGTCAGAGATCAGCCGAAAGAGGAACGGAAACTTGGTTATGGAGGTAACAAAGTTTGTCTTTAATGAATGTTTTGAAGAATGTTGTCGAAATGTGATAAGCGGAAAGAAGCGAAGAGAGGCGAACGCGTTTTAAATTTTAAATCACAAAAGCAATTCCGGTGAAAACTCCGGTATATATGAAAGTGGCGGAGATGCTGATCAGGAATTTTGAAAAGCAGCTCTATAAGAACTATTTTTGTGGGGCGTGGTTCGAATTCATTTTCACTCGAAAGTGACACAAATTTAATCGCTGAGTGATAAGTAACACCGCCCGGCCATTAAGAAAAATGTTTTCTTGACAGCTTCAATCAGGGACAAAAGTGTCGAGACATTTCAGCAAATGAGACGTTCCGTACTTTCCTTGCTAGAAAGAAACTTTTTCGTAAATAGCCACCCCAACCCTCACTCCCCCAACTCCAATCAATGATGAAACAGGCTTCGTCGACTCTGTCAGTCTGTCACGTGATTACAACATTAGAAAGAAGAGAGCGGGGCAAAATATGAGGAGTGTAGATAGGACAAATTACAATTACTGAATATTTTTAAACGAAGATTACGAAGTAAACTCTTACGTGAATTATTATCTTCATAATACAATATTGTCACATAATTCTACCTAATTTCATATCATTTTTATAATTCCTTGGTACGTGGATTTATTTCATTTTAATTTTAATGTAACTTATTTAATAGTATTAGTACTGAAAAGCCCCCATGTGGAATGGTAATAAAATTTTTATTGTACTGTATTGTAATTGAAGGGAGGAGGTTTGTTCTCCGGCAGTGTCTCAGCTACTTTCGTGCCTGATTTTAGTTTCTGTTTATTGGCAGCTGAGTCTAGAACGTTCCCAGGAGGCCTTTTTCTTACTAAAGCATGACTAAGCATAACCATGAGCATGAAAACATACCCACCTCCAAAGCTAAGGTACCATAATATGCAGTGACGAAGTTACGATCTTCTACCCTTGAAAGTACGGCAAGCACTTCTGATAGTGCCATGAAGAGCCCTCTCCCCTCCCAATTACAATGCAGCTGAACATGCAGGAAGCAAGACAGTCCTTAGCCTGCGTGAACATACTGTTTTCCTAGTGTTTATTAAATCGCGTTTAAATCTGGATATACATTAAAACAGGTTAAATTGAAATTATGAAAGATTCCGATACTCCCTCGCTTCAAAATTCAGCTGTATCGTTTGGCAAATTTGAACAGTTGTCTGTGGAAAGTACAGCTATTGAATGGGCCATTTTCGATACACTGCAATTCTAACGTAGCTTCGAGGCTTGGGGGAATAGAACAAAAGAAATCGTATCGAGGTTGAGGGATGAATAATTGATTTAATTTCCTTTGTTTTATTCCCCAAGCTTCGTAGCCAAGTTAGAATGTTAACATATCGAAAATGGTTATTGATCTATTGAAACAATCGCAAAATACTCAGACTAAAAGCAAAGTTATTCTAAAGGTTTCCGTCGTGTCTCGTTTAATTTTATATCCTTATATGGTTCTACCATGGAATTATGAATTACATTATCAGGTTTTCTGCTTTGACTTTTAGCCACCTATCCGGTTGCCGACTACCCTGCAAATACAATGCTGCTGGATACGCGCATGCGTTATGGCGAGATCTCTTACGAACCAAAGGACGTTTTGAGGCGGGAGGACCACTGGCAGCCCTCTGAAAAACACAAATCAGATCTGAGGAAGCGCCATGGGTCAACAAATGATGCTAAAGTACAGTTTGTCAGTCAGGGAAACGGCGAAATTACAATGCATGTCGTTGACGTCACTCCTTGTTGGCATACAAATCGGTTGCCTATTGTTGTTGCTGTTGTTGTCGTGGTCGTTGTCATTGTTGTTGTTGCTGTTGTTCTGTCTGAATAAACTACAGAGTGAGAGCAATAAGGATAAAGGACCCGCATGAAAACCAATTCAGGCGAAATACTGTAATTTTTTTATTTATGTAGCGTCATGAACCTTTATTCGTTGAAGAGTCTGCCAAAATAGTATTGTAAAACATAATCAGAAAACAGAATCATAACACCTTCAAAGATGTTACGCACAAGATAGAGGGTGCCTTTCATTAAGAACAATGGAGTGGGAAATTAAAAATAGCGCGACATTTTCCGAGCAAATTGTTCAAATCGAGTAAAGCGGCCTTCACACGGCAAAATTAAGTTGGCAACTCGTGTTGGCAAACTTCAAAAAGTTGGCAAACTCGTTTCACACGTCAAACTCGCGTCAAATCACAACACACGGTAATTTGCAACATGGCCGACTTATGCCGTGTTTTCATGAGAGGTTTACTACGGTTACTGCGTACCGAGATTTCGTAACTAATCCGCAGTTTTTAGAGAAGCTGTTTACACGAAACTAATAAACTAAAGTAGACCGCATATAACGGACGGTTTGAGGTTTTCTCGGAAAGCATGCGCAAGTGCTGCAATGTTGCTCAGAAACTATTGGAAAATTATAAAATTTGACTTTACCCCTATGCCGAACGCAGATCGTTGTAAGTTTGCTTGAGGTGATGTCGAGCCTAACTCTCCTTAAATGTAAAGCTTTATAGATGAATAGTGGAAAGAAAATTTTGGTATCTCGCTGAACCTCTTCCCGGAAAAAGCCCTGAAACGGCATCTGCCAGGGAGCCCGGGCTATGTAAATGTTTACCGCTACTTCTTCCTATTAAGGGGTGGCTTTAAATTCTAACATTTGCTTTTCTTCTCCATAGACCGCAATTATGATTTTTTTTCTCTCTATTTTGGGTAGGTCTTCTTCTAGTTGCGCCTGCCTGTACACTGCTACTAAGCTACTGAGCTTCTAACAGAAAGGAAAGGCTTACGGCACTGGACGATGAAACAGCAGTCCGGGATTTCTTTGCCTAACTTGAGTTTATTTAGCTTTTGCCCGTTGACTTGAAACCTACCTACATTAGGAGGAATCTTTATCTATTTTTCTCTTTTTACACGCTGCACGCGCGAACACTTGCTGCCAAGATAACACGACAACGTCTGCTTTTCCTCGGTTACCGTCGGTTACTGAGCTAAACCATGCCTGATGAGGCGTTCAACTGTCGACAAACCTAGGTTGCCTTACTTTTGATTTTGCCGCCATTTACCGAGGTTTGCTACTGTGTTTACTCGATTAAAAATTTCACTTCAATAAAGTTAAAACAAAATCAAAGTAAACATCTCTCGTGAAAACACGAGCTTAGTGCAGTTGCACTCACGTAGAATAGTGAACAGAAGAGAAGAGAAGAAACAGAAAGCGGTGGAAAAAAAGAAAGGTTTGGACGAAACTCAGTTTGTCCGCAAGCTCCTCCATTCTCTTTCGTTTGTTTTTAGTATCTTTGTAGACTACAGATGAAACGTTTCACACAGCCGGACAACTGTGAGCCTCTTCGATAAATTTAAAAATGGCCTCATGTTCATCTTGAATTGCGTCCGGCATTTTGTGAAGTGTCACGCAAATAAATCACGTGAATAGAGCCATGTTTGCCAGTCGTTCACACGTCAGATGCGAGTTTACCAGCACGAAAAAGTTGGTGAAAAAGTTGGCGAGAATAGAGGCAAGTTCTATTTGTCGCTTAAAGTTTGCCGACCTGTTTGCGGACTGTATTTGTGCCGTTTACACACACCAACTTGAGTTTGCCAACACGAGTTTGCCAACTTTGCTTTACCGTGAGAAGGCCACTTAACACGACTTTTATCAGTTTTCTGAAGAGAAAGAGAGGAACTAACCGGGCTTCTTTCTTTGTAGTTTAATTTAGTGGTCTGAACCGACTTTTTCATCTATTCCAAACCAAATGGTTCAAATGTGAGTTCTAATGGACAGGTCCCTAAGTATCTAGTTGGAAGTTGGCATACCAACATGGGAACCTTTAATCAGCTCACTATTGTCCGGTTGCTTTATAATTTAATAACGTTTATCTGAAAAAACAACCTCTTTGCCGGGGCCTGCATTCAATTCCTTGGTCAGCGGTTACCGAAAGCTCTGCGATCTAAGCGAGAAAAAGTTCACAATATATGCCACGATGGATAATTTTTGGAAGGTTATTTCTCAAGATAAGTTAAGAAAGAGCTGGAAACTTCCTAGCAGGCAATTTGTGAAGTAGGATCAAACTAGTTTTCTTGATATGTTACGTTTGAAGACTGAATAAAGAAATTTAAAATATTCATTTGATATTTGGATGGTTTGGACTTTGCAGATGGGTTTCAAAAGAGTTCAAAATTCTATAATCAGCCGAGGAATCATAGACTTTGGTATACACTAACATGTCATCAAGGCTTTGCTTTTCAGATTACTTGAAATTTCCAATGAAATGAGTCTTAGCCGCTCGACAACATAGTGATTTCTAGTACAGGAACAATTGTTTTTAGTGCAGAATTGAGGGGGCTTTCGTCAGTGATGGTATTCGCCAGGTCAGTTCCCATCGATATCATTTGCATTACGTGCAGTTCACGAAAAAAGAATTAAGTCCAGACCATTTATGTTTGCGCAAAATGTTTCAGTTTGTGAATGCGTCTCAATTAAGTAGCGCTGTTCACGAAGTAGTACTGTCTTCTCGTTAAAACGTTTCTTGGAATCAATACTGAGATACTCATTTGAAGTAGTTTTCTCTGCTGGAGTTTTTAAATTTGTTTTGTCGCTGGTAAAATAATGTAACGAGATATTCTTAATTGTTAGTTTCAAATGGTAACTTGACACCTTTGTTTTTCACGCACGAGTAGTTTCAATTAAAACTGACGAATCATTGGGGTCTCTGTAAAACGAGGACCGGATGGCGGCGGATGGCGGATGGAAAAATGCGGATGATAAAATGCAGATGATAAAATGCGGTCTGTGCGGATGATGAAATGCGGATGATAAAATGCGGATAACAAAATGCGGATGGAAAATTGCGAATGGCAATATGTAGATGATAAAATCCTTCTGAGGGAAAATTGACAATTGAAAGTCCTAGTTGTAAATTAACCAGACCATCTTATAGAATTTAGGCCAGGAGAAGTCCAGTAGTTTAAATTCAATCACAAAACAGATCCAAAAATGTTTACGTTGGCCGAATCCAAAGTAACCCCGATAAGCCTTGATCGAATAATAACAGACTAGACTTTTATCGTCAGACTCCGTTCTTCTTTCACTACATAAGTAAGTGAGTAAGTAAGTAAAGACTTTATTTAAAGAGGGTAGCACTAAAATAGTATAAAAATACTAACAAACCAGTGGCCCTCTAAAAGTTAAGTACAATACGGATGTTAAAACTATGGCATAATTATGAGATAAGGACTTTCGCTGTCTACTATTAAGCAAATTTCCAATGCAGACAATAGGCATTGTCAAATTAAATGAAGCACTGCTACATTAACCGATCGTGCCCCACCGTATCCTAGTTGAAAAGTGTGCAAGGCACATGAAGTATTTGCATATATTGCACAAGACTCTACAACACGACCTCAAAGGCCGGTGACTCTAGCGCAAATGGGAATGCACGGGCAGTGAAGCTTTCCGTGAACAAAGTCAATTTTGTTGGTCGATCGAAGTTAAATCGAACTACATCCAGGGTCTTTTAATTCACACACAAAAAATAACTCTTGCACGCTTTGTGTGCCTATGTTGTAGGGCTTTTAATTCACACCAAAAAACTAACTCTTGCACGTCTTGCGTGCCTATGTAGTAGCAGCAGTAGCAGCAGTAGCAGCAGCAGTAGTAGCAGTAGCAGCAGTAGTAGTAGCAATAGTAGCAGTAGTATTAGTAGTAGTACTAGTAGTAGTAGTAGTAACAGTGGTGGCAGTGGTGGCAGTGGTGGCAGTGGTGGCAGTGGTGGCAGTGGTGGCAGTGGTGGCAGTGGTGGCAGTGGTGGCAGTGGTGGCAG